CTCCTCCTGGAAGCCTTCCCTGATCCTCCCACGCCCCTCCCCACGGCCCTAGGCTGTGTTTTCTGGTTTCTGGCTGCACTCCTTCCACACCTACTTCCTTGAAACAATTGCCTTCAGATAAGCACGGCCAGCTGTCCCCAAACACCCTGAGAAGCCCTGCGCAGTGAGTGACTATGTCACGTATGTGGATTAAAGTGGCGGACAAGCGGGGTGGGTGGGTCGCCCCTCATATTGCTGTCATTGGCGGTGGTGTTGGTGATTGTGATGGCAGAGCGGGTGGTGACAGTGGGAATGATGTGGTGGTGACAGAGATGGGCAAGGTGACAGTCATCGTGGCGAGGTGGATGTTGGCGTCTCGTGGAGCTGTGGCTGCGGGAACTCGTGGTGTCGATAGAGGTGGCGGTGGCGTGGCTAGTTTGAAGTTGGTCCAAAGACATCGGTGGCCGTCCTCTCCCGCTCATGTCCCACACTCTGGGGTCACCAACGGTAGCATCTCACCTCTATGGTTAGTGACTTTGTGGCTTCCTTGTGGCCATTTATCTTGGCCACCTTGTGGAGCTCCTGCAGCCCTTGCTCTGGTTTGCCCGTGATAATGAGCCATCGGGCAGACTCTGGAAGCCACCTGTTAAGGAAACAGATGCTTGTCGGGGTCTCTGCCTTCTTCCTTCTGCTTCTTCCCAGCCTCAGGGCAGGTGGCAGGGAGAAGCAGCTCCTGGATGAAAAGGACTGGACTTTTCCCAGCCCGCAGGGCCTCGTCCCTGTTTGCAGGGAAGCTAAGAATTTCCGGAAGGCAGTGTGGCATCGTGGTGAAAAGAGCCAGCCTGCCTGGGTTCAGATCCTGCCTCTGCTACTCGCTGGGCCGCACGGCCTCGGGTGAGTCACTGAACCTCTCTGGGCGTCAGTCCCTCCTCTGAAAATGGTGGTAATTGTATCATCAAAACTCCGTGTGGTCAGTGGCGTTTGGTCTGTTTGATCTGCTGACGTGTCAGATCAAACCTGAAACCACGTCTGGCACGGGGGCAGCAAATACTTGAGAATGAATGAATGAGTCCTTCTGACTCTCCCTACCCCACGGTAGACTCCCCTGGGCCCAGGTCTACCCAACTCCGGTTCGCAGAGGCGAGAGAACTCCAGGCGCCATGAACTTGTATCTGCCTCCCTGTGTCTCTTCTTCCCTCAGCCCTCACCCAAACAACTGTTTCCAGACCCCAGGGAGTTTCGCAACACCCAAAATAATAGCGAGGGTGATCTCTTTTCGTATCCGCTGTCAGTCCTCGCCGACTCGGAGCCCACGGGCCCGGCAAGCGATGTGAAGGCTGCAGGGGGCGGGGCCGGTGGGTGCCAAGGACGGGGAGGGGCCGGGCGCCAGCAGTCCGGACGGGAGCCTCAGACCTCTGGCTAAAACACCCACCCTGAACTCCGAACCCCCAAGAAGTCTCCCTCAGCAAGGGCTCTGCACGCACGGCTGCCCTTCGTGGCTCTCGGCATCTTGGGGTCCTGGGCCAGCCAGGGTGGCAGGGGCGAGGGGCACCTTGGAACTCCAAGTCTCCCTCCTGGTTAGTGATGTTCTCCCCAAGGGAAAAGGCCCCACACCGTACTGACCGGCATATCAGGAAGATGGCAAAGAAGGGCATCGACACGGCCACCTGGAGGGTGCGCCAGTCCCGCAGGGTGAAGGCCAGGGCCCCCAGGGCCATCTGGCCCAGGCTATAGAAGCATCCCAGGATTGTCACGGTGACAGCCCTCCTGCGGGTCGTGGTCCACTCCACCACTGAAAGGTGACGCAGGCATCCGCAGGTAAGGGCCCCCCCTCCCCACCGCACCCCCACCCCACCCCACCCCGGTGGGAGCAGGCCAAGGCGGGGACTCACGAAGCATCCCCGAGGTCATGATGATGCCGGATATTGCAAAGGCGCTCAGAACCCGGAGGCCACAGTAGATGAAGAAATGGGAAACGAAGATCATGCCGATGTTGGCCAAAGCCACTTGTAGACAACACAAGTTCAGTATCCACTTCCGCCCAAACCTGGTCGGGAGACAAGCACAGTGGGGGCCTGGAGGGGGCCCCTGGGGGTTCGGGCATAGGGGCCAGTGCCTCAAGGTAACAGAGGGTTCAAGAAGGCAGGGGCACCTGCTGGGGCATCTCTGTCTCCTTCCCGGATCTCCCAGGGGCATGCTGGGTGGGGGGCGGGGTGCTTATTACAAAAATGGCAGACGCCTTGGGGCTCCTGGGCGGCTTAGTTGGTTAAACGTCCGGAGTGTTGATTTCGGCCCAAGTCATGATCTCATGAAGCGTGAGATTGAGCCCCCACCCTGCACTGTCAGCGCGGAGCCTGCTTGGGATTCTCTGCACCCCTCCCCTCCACCCCGCCTCCGGCCCGTCCCTCCCCTGCTCATACACTCTCCCTCTCTCCTCTCTCAAAAATAAATACACATTTAAACAAAAAAAAAAAAGGCAAACGCCTTGCTCTCAGGGGGCAGCATAACCTCATGGTCAAGGACGCGCTTTGGCTGGAGCAGCTGGGAGGCTCAGTCGATTAAGTGTCCAACTCTGGCTCAGGTCATGACCTCGCGGTTTGCGAGTTCGAGCCCCACATCTCTCTCTCCCTCTCTCTCTGGCCCTCCCCCACTCATGCTTTCTCTCTCTCAAAATAAATAAATGCACTTAAAAAAAAAAAAAAAGAGAGAACAGGCCTCGATTGAATCACTACGTTGTGCACCTGAAATTACATTACACGCACGACGAGGCATGTGGACACATTGGAACTTAGATAAAAACTTTTAAAAAATGGGCTTTGACCTCAGAAGCCTGCGTCCGAGTCCAGCTCTGCCCTTCCTGGGTGGCCTTGGGCACAAGACTCCACATCTCCGAGCTGCAGTCCCCCCATGTGTAAAACGGGGGTACGCAGGAGGACCGCCTCACGGAGTTCTGAAAATCAAGACACCTAGCAAGGGGGCGGTGCGGCCAGGAGGCTGAGCGCATGTGGCCTGGGGCAAGGCGGCCAGCTCCCGGCCAGTCTGTGCAAGGGGACCAGAGCGCCCCACACCTACGCCCCGAGGCCAGCTTAGCCCGAAACCTCTGCCTGCATTTAGCTAAAGCGTGTGGCAGTCTGGGGCGCCTGGGTGGCGCAGTCGGTTAAGCGTCCGACTTCAGCCCGGTCACGATCTCGCGGTCCGTGGGTTCGAGCCCCGCGTCGGGCTCTGGGCTGATGGCTCAGAGCCTGGAGCCTGTTTCCGATTCTGTGTCTCCCTCTCTCTCTGCCCCTCCCCCGTTCATGCTCTGTCTCTCTCTGTCCCAAAAATAAATAAACGTTGAAAAAATAAATAAATAAATAAATAAAGCGTGTGGCAGTCTGACAGGAGAGATGTGCACAAAGCTGGGCCCTGCCTATCCGAGCGGGGTCCCCAGGAACCGACCCGTTCGGCCCAGACCCGGGGCGAGGTCTGGATGCCGACACCCGGCCCTGGGCCCAGGCTCGCTGGGTCACCTGCAGACCGACTGCGATTTGGCTCCCTGTGTGGACAGCCCCCGGGGACTGAGCCATAGCTGCACGGCAGTGGGTCCCCTGGAAGTGCCATTTGGACCATGTCCCTCGCGTGCAGCGCAGCACAAGGCCCACAGGTAACGACCGTAGCAGAACCCCAGCACGGAGCGCTGACCCTGTGCCAGGCCCTGGCCCGAGCTCTGCGTGTGAATAACTCACTTTATTATCACAACAACCCCATGCATAGGGCCAGGTCCCCACGCACAGGAGGAAACTGAGGCACGGAGGAGCCACCAATCTGCCTTCTAGGAAGCTCGGGAAGGACAGGTGGGGGTTGGAACCCAGGGGTCAGACCCCGTAGCCTGCATGGTCAGGGGAGTGAGTCGTTCGTTCATTCACAAAATGACTGAGCACACGCTGGATGCTGGGGACACAGCAAGAAAGCCCCTGCGTTCTCGGAGCCACCTGTTGTGGGGACACGCACAACAAACGAGCAAGCAAATGCTGGCCGAGTGGGTGTGGTGTTTGGAGAAATAGCTGGCGCAAATGGCAAATACCTGGGGCTTTTATGAGCGACGATATGAGAGACTCTGGGGAGGCAGGCTGATTATCGTGCCTACACATACAAGGTCTTTATAGCAACCAAAGGAGTCTTCACAGACACCCGTCAATCTCAGAGCCCCTGCAGCCAGGGCGCACGCTGGGGGTTCTGGGTCATGTCTGGGTAAGTGGGGAGCAGTCATGCCAAGCTGAGGCGGGGGTGGGGGAAGGGGCCAAGCCAGGAGCCATCTTCCGGGTGCAGTGGCCCCAACTCAGGCCGGGGATCAAATAAATCCCACACAGGGTTTTGCAAAGACACTCTTGAGGCCAGACCTGGAGGTCGCATCTGCCCGGGGCAAGAGAGAGGCTGGGTGCTGGCAAGGTGACTCAAGGAGGAGAGCAGGGGGAGTGTGCGGGCCTGGCCCTGGAGGAAAGAACAGGGTGGCTTCTAAGGTTGGTGTGGGACTCGGTCAGGGGCCGTCGTGGAGTCTGGCGAGCAGGGCTGGGTGGGGGGGGAGCGGGCTGGTCTCCAAAGTACAGCTCAGCTCTGGGTCTCGGCAATGTGAGCCCTCCCTCATGGAACCTCAGAGCAGGCAGTGGGTTCTGACATGTTGAGTGGGGTGAATGTGTGACCACAACAAGAGACCCTGGAGGCAGTGTCTCAAGTAGCTGGGGGGTGGCTGGACAAGAGAAGGTGCTGGGCTAGGTCCTGGGGCTGTTTTGGTAGGAAGGAGGGTGATGGGGGGACTGAGAAGGGCAGGAGGATATCTACGCTTACCACTGAGTCACAAGGGGTCTGTTTCTCCTGAGAAGCCTGGGTTCCCTGAGGGCAGTGTGACTGCACAGCAACCGGTCAACAGTAGGGTGCTCGAGAGAGCCGGTGTCCAAGGAACTTCAGAGTTATCAGGCGTTTCATCCATGGGGTCTCCCAATATTCGCTCACTTTGGGACCTGCTGGGTCCTTGTCATCACTGCCTCTTGGCTGTCATTACCCCTTTAGCTGTCACTGCTGCCCTCTCTTGGGGACCCTGGGTTCTGGCCGGCCACTGCCCCCTTTGGGGACCTTGGGTCTTTGGTCGCCACTGCCCCCATTACCGCCCCTTTAAATTCCGTTCTGGCCATTGCCCCTTGGCTGTCGCCATGCTGCCTCCGACCTGGGTTCTCTGGCCATCATTGCCCTGGGGACCTGGGGTTCTTTGGTCATTACTGCCCCTTATTGCAATGCTTGCCTTTGGGGACTCGCCTGTTCTTGGTCATCACTGCCCCCTTGGGACCTGGGTCTCGGCTGCCACTGCCCTTGGAGTTGTCATGCTGTCTCCTTTGGGGACCTGGGTTCTGGCCATCACTGTCTCCCCTTGGGACCTAGTCCACCGTCATTGATTTGCCTCGGCATGTCATGCCCCCTTGGGGAGGGTCTGTCTCGGAATATCACTGCCCCCTGGGGACCCCTCAACCTGCTGTCACTGCCTTTGTTGCCACGCCTCTTTGGGGGGGACCTGGCACACGTTCCCTGACCTGGGTCAAATACTTGCTGTCGCTGTCCTTGGGGATTCGGGTTCTTGGCTCATCACTGCCCCTTGGGGACCTTGGGTTCTGGCCGCCACTGCCCTTTGGGGACCTGACCCCTCTGGCCACTGCCCCCTTGGCAGAGCACAGTCACAACAATGCCCTTGGGACCTTGCTCCCAAGCCACTGCCCCTGGGGACTGGTCCTGGTCACTGCCCCCGGTTGTCACCGTCTTCTTTGGGGATCTGGGTTCCTCATTACTGGGACATCACTGCCCCCCCTTTGGGACCTGGGTCTCGTCGTTACTGCCTGGCTGTCGCATGCCCTTTGGGATTCTGCTCTGGATCACGCCCCTTTGGGACCTGGGTGTTGATCGTCACTGCCTTGAGTTCTTGGGGACTCGATCTGGGTCTGGCCTGCCACTGCCCCTTTGTCAGCGCCACCTTTGGGGGAGTCTGGTTCTTGACGCCACTGCCCTTGGGGACTAAGGTTCTTGGTCGCCACTGCCCCCTGACCTGATTTTGGTCGCCGCTGTCCCCTTGGCTGTACTGCCAGCCTGGAGAGACCTTGGAATTAAGACTTAGGACTCTCGGGTTCAAGGGAGCCTGCCTCTTGCAGGAACGTAACGCGGATTACCATGGGTTATTTTGTACACATCTGTCCCCTTTGCCAGTGCTCATTCTGTTGAGGAGGAGAGCCAGGAGGACAGATGATACTAACACCTGCTGAGAGGAGGCCCCAGGAGAAGGACCCCATGGCCCGGCTCAAGACAACATACTTCAGGCCCTTGTGGTCAACACACACAATCAGGTCCCACTGGAAGAAGAGAAAAAAGAGGACAGCAGCTTGCTCAGGGCACGTGGTGGAATAGCAGGGCCTGGGGTGGCGAGGGAGGTTCAATGGAGCCCCAGGCTGGGAGCACCTGGTCAGCCTAATGTTTGGGGGGCCCCAGACGAGCCAGGTGATGAGGTGGCAGGGGGTGTACTGGTGGCTCTGTACTCCAGCGCCAGTTGATGTGTGACCGGCCACCCGGAGTGGAGGTGGTGGGCGGTGGCTGAAACCACAGGCTGGCCTCTAACTCTGCTGACGCTGGCTGGGCGGAGCCTGGGGGGGGGGGGGGAGGTTTCCCCACCCCTGTCATCGGGCCGTTTCTCACCCAGTGGGGCCCTCAGTTGCTTCCCCTCACTTCAAGCCGCCAGCACTGCAGGAGCCCTTGCCCCCCTCTAAAGGAAGGTCTTGTAGGCCCAGCAGCGGAGCTTCATTTCCTGCCCCAAAGCCTCCAGTGACTTTCCCTTTTTGCTCCTCCCTCACTGACCGACTTCCCCCCAGGCAGGCTCCAGCTTTCCCGGACCCTTTTCTTCTGCCCAGACACAGTTAGTCTCTCCTGCTCCTGCAGCAGTGCAGACACCCCTAGACCTGCCTTACTAGACCCTTCTGTCCCAACTGGCCTCACCACCTTCCAGCTGCTTATCATCGCCTAATCCGGGCTGGCCCGAGAGGTTCTCCCCACCTGCCTCCTCTGAGGCTGTTTTTCTCTTTTAAGAGGCAGGATGACGGGACATGAAGACCCCTGCAAGCCGGGCTCCTGCCCCTGCCTGGTTTTCTTGAGAGTCATTGTGGGGTTCTTGTGCACTGAGCTGTGTGTCCTGGGCAAGTTACTTAACCTCACTGTGCTTCTGTTTGGATGTTTTATATTTGCATGAGACGAGAAGAGACCCCCCCGGGAGATCGTAGTGACAGGAAGGGAAAGCACACGGAATGGTTGCCACTCCTTTAAAGAGTTTGATCTCCCCATGGCTACAAGCACTAGTTAAATTATTGACCTGGGCTCTCAGTTTGTGCTAGTTGGTTAAGCGTCCAACTCTTGGTCTCGGCTCAGGTCACCATCTCATGGTTCATGAGTTTCAGCCCCACATCGGGCTCTGGGCCGCTTGGGATTTTCTCTCTCCCTCTCCCTCTGTCCCTCCCTGACTCACTCTGCATCTGTCTCTCTCAAACAAACAAGCTTAAAAATAAACAAATAAATACATAAGGAAATAAATAAACATTGACCGATTCTGAATCTGCCCGCGGAACGTAAGCTCCTCCAAGCCTCCCTGTTTATCCAGATCAGGGGGTCAGGGAGGTCTGACTCCGCTCACTTCCCCGTCGTAAGCAGTGAGTCAAAATGTGTTGAGGGGGTAGCATCTAATTTAACAGTGCTGATGGAAGCCGTACGATCCTTCCAGGCATGGGGGGGTGGCCATCGCTGGCCCCTGGGGAGGCCAGGTCGTCGGCGGGAGGCCCATACCTCTGACACGAAGGTGGAGGTGAAGGTGCTGCGGTCGTAGACCCAGCCGTCCACGCACGGCTCCGTGGCGGCCTCGCTCCAGTTGGTGGCTGTGCCGTTGGGGTCCAAGAGCTGCCACTGGGGTTGGCGGAAGCGGCGACACCGGTGGGGCTCGTTGTTGGGGCCCGGGGGGATGGAGACGGTCAGGAAGTCCTTGGGGCCCAGGGCCCCGGGGACACCGGCCTGGGCAGTGCTGTTGTCCAGGAGGGGCACCCAGCAGCGGTGGCTGGGCACGGCGGCCGAGAAGTTCTCAATGAGCATGTGGGAGGGCACCAAGACGGAGGGAAGGAAGAGAGTGAAAACCTGCAGGGCCTGGAAGAGGCCCACGCCCCCCGCTCGGTCCAGGAGCTCGGCGAACGCCATGGACGGAGCTGCGGGCAGCCACGGCGGGTACGGAAGGGGCCAGGGAGCCAAGGAGTGATCCGCTGCCGTCGGGAACCGCTAGCAAGTGTGGGAACCCTGGGTCATCGCGCCTTCTGCCCTGGTCGGCCTGCAGCGGGACAGGGACAGCAGTCCGGCAACCCGGCCAAGCCAGTCCTGAGATGCCCCGGATGCTTTGAAGAAAGTCCTCCTGACTCTGTTTCCAGGAATGACTGCCCACCAGTCTGGGCACCAGGGACAGAGCTCGCGGTACCCAGGCTGCCTGGGGCATCGAGGCACGTCGTTTCTCCGGCTCTAGCACCAAGAGTAAAAGGATGAAGCAAATATTTAAAAAAAAAAAAAAAAAAAAAGGAAAAAATGAGGCCATGGGGTGATGTTACTGAATTACAGTTGTGGAGGAAATACCAACTGGGCTGTTGCCGCGGTTAAAGTTTAATCTCAGCGTGGGCTCCTGGGCCAGAAAGTCAGGTCTAGCTACCGAGAAAGGCTTCTGCAGCTCTCTGCGGGTGGCCTCCTCACATTCCTAAATCCGAACTTCCAGATTCCTCTACATGTGGCCCTTGAAATCAGGGAACCGCTGGCCTGACTTTCAGCGGTGCTGGGACAATTTCAGGCCGCTTTGGCTAAAGCACGGAGGTGGGGACTGGGCAGGGCCCTCCCTCCCTGGGCTCCGAGGCTGCAGGGAGGCTGGTGGGAGGGCCCCAGCCGGCACTAGTTCCCTCCTTGCCACCCGCCTCCCCTCCCCGCCAGGCAGCAGGGGACACCAGCTTGCAGACCCACTATTTTGGGAAGCTTCTATTTCAAAGTTCCAGGTTGCCTTTGTTGGACTGGAGGCTCCCCCCAGGGTGGAGAGGGCGGCTACGATCCCTGACATCCCTTCGAAGCCCCCGGTTGGGGCCTGGAGGTAAGCAGGCCTGTCGCCTGGGGAAGTGAGTGGAGTCATACCTCCCTGACCCTGCTTGGTGTGAGGAGGGGCGGAGGCCCCCCCCTTCCCCAGCACCCCACCTAGGCGGAGCCTCTTAGTAGCAGCTGCTCCTGGCCCCAAGGACCTGCTATGTGCTTGGCTCCGTGCTGACCCTGCGGTCAGTACCCCTCTCACGCACCCCTCGTAGCAGCCCGGGCGAGAGTTGGTGCTAATTTCTCCGGACGAGGAAACCGAGGTTCAGAGAAGGCAGGCGGCTTGTCCCAGGTCACACAGCAGAGTGGGGACGGGAACCAGAGGTCAAAGCCCAAACGCGCTCTCCAGTGGCCACGTGGCCCCTAGCCCCTCGTCGTCGTGCATCAACTCCCAGTTTAGGGCTGGAATTCAGGATGGGGATCAGAATAGGGCCAGCCAGGGAGCCAGAAGTCACCTCCGGGGCTGTGAGGGCAACCGGCTGAGTCAGTTCTGGAGGGAAGTCTGGGAGGGTGCTAGAAGTGTGGGTGTGGCGGGGATAGGTGTCTGGGCCCCGAACTCCCCAGAAGGCTTGGACAACCCCGGCCGCTCTGGCACCCAGCCAGGAGGCCGAGGAGCGGGGCTTCTGGGCCCGGATTTCCGGGCCAGGGCTGCCTGCCTCCGTACCCTGCCTCCCAGGGCAGGAGCTCATTATGAATTTTAAAATAGCAAGTAGAGAGCGGTGGAGAGAGAACCCACCCGGGCGGCGCGCAGGCGGGCGAGGAGCCGCAGAAGCCACAGGCGTTTTGGCTAAAACACGCAGTTTCCCAGGTCCTGCCGTGAGGGGAGGCCCCGGAATTTGCATTTAAAACTAAGCTTCCCCGGGGGG